ATCATCGATAAGAATGGAGACTATTTAATTTAATAAATGTTTTGTTTTGATATATATGTTGTTCGGGTTTTTTCTTATAAAAAAAAGAGACATTAATTTCTTGACGACCTAATATATACATATATATATATATATGTACACATCTTTATATAAAACTCATATTTTTTCCCTGTCAGGTTCTTTCTGAGTAAGAAAGTGATTTTCTACAACACTAGATCTTCTTGACATTTTTATATCAAAAGTGAGCTTAAACATATTACTGACCAAAAAGATATCCAAATTGCTCCTATAAATAATAAACAATAAAGGCCCTGAAAGAAGTCCATAAGGACTTTCATTATTACATTCTTCCAATCAACAAAAAAATTATCATTTCTCGTAACACTTTGTTTTATACCACTAAGTCAGTGTATTTCTTAACATTGAACTTTATCACAAATTTGAAGTGTATCCAACTTACAATGATTCATTTTTAGTACTTTATCAAATACTTTTTGAAGAATAAGATATACAACATCAACTAGGATTTTCCTTAATCAAAAATACAGAGACCCTATTGTTACGTCTCTGTTCGTTTGCTAATTTCCCGTATAATTTCTTTCCGATGAAACTTTAGCGACACAAGCCCTTTCTTAAATAAAACTAGTTTATTCTTTCTCAACTTTGCAATACACTTAATTTCCACAGCCAATTTAACTTAACTAATTTTATAAAAACACGTTATAATTCACAGGGAATGATTCACGCACTTACTTACTACAGCGCTTGACTCAGTTCTCCGTCTCTGTCTGTCTGCAATTCTCTATATCCCGATTAATTCGTCTCACGTTATCCGGCGCACTTATATACAGGAATAGAGGGCGCCTAGCACACACTGGATTATTCGTGATGTTCCCCGATCCTTCTAGAATATCATAACGTGTTACCAGCGTCACGTGACTACCACTGTCGTAACACTATCAGAAAAGTCCAACCAACTAACAAAACAAGAAACCATTTTCTAAAACAACGCTTAAAATATTTAAAACAATACTAATTTTACAAATGCTTTTCTGAACGGTGCTTGACAATTGATTCTAATACCTTGCTAATAAGAGAGGTTTAGTTTGTAGTAGTTGTTAAGCACAAAGCTGCAAACCCCGCATACTTGCCACTGGGGATGGGGGATACAAGAGAGTTCAAACTAATACGTTTATAGTTTTCAGGTCTCTCATTAGATACCCCCTATTTTAAATTATGGATTACTTCTCCAATCTTTCAATCATCAGAAATTTCGTTGATGTCAAAAAATCACCAAAGACAGTATTAAAGGAGTACTCTTAAGGCTGACACATTTTCTTGTTCATTAAAAGCATGCTGTTACTAACTGTTACGAAGGTAAGCGCCAAGTGCTTAGGAATTGTGTATTTAAAAAAGTTTTCAATTATTCAGTCACTTCAGTAGGCTTATCTTTAAAGACTCCACTATCTCTTTGCTAAGCTTCTTCAGGGTTGTAGGATAAATCTTGTCAGAGAAGAAGCTTTATTCTCAAGAACTTTCACGAGCTTCTCCAAAAACAGCTACTTCTTCACTATAATTATAATTTAAGAAATGTAATCCTCGTCTTAAAGAAAGTGTGAGCTTAGAATTTTTTCTCCTGGACTATATGAATATAAACACTTCTTTCTTTTTTTAAGACTTTGACAGCGTTTCTTTCAGCAATAATAAAATTCCCTTTAAAATTTAATAAACGACTCGTATAATCTCTGACTTTTATTACATAAAAAACACATTCAAACCAAACTGGATGCTTTTTTATGTTTTTTTGTGAACGTTTTAAAATTCTTTTTAGTTTTAACGATGACTCGCTTAACTTCTTTAGTTGCAATTTACGTTCGTAAACCTAAGCATCAGCTATAAGTCTGAGGATTCACACCGCAAAAACCGGGTTTCGATACTTTTGGTGGACACAGCACAGATAGTTCATTGTTTAGATTTGTGCTTAACAACAAACAAACCTAAGCATCCTTCTTTCATGTGGGTCACCATGATTTGTTAGAAAGGGTCTTTTGTGTAACCAGAAACACATGTGACCTTAGGTTTTTGTTAGTTTACTGAATTTCTCACAAAGCTACTCGAGTACTATTTGAACTAGCCGTCCCAAATTTTCAAGTGATAGACTAGAAGGAAGGCAAGCTAATCAATATCACTCTCCACCAATTATTGGGGTACTCTTTATCAATAAATAGTTGGAATTACCGTTACATTATAATGCCCCTACGACTGAAAGGACGAGCCTGCTCGGTGACGGGATTCGATCCTGCGACTTGAAGATTGCGAATCGACTGCCCAAATCACCAGACTACACCAGGCCCTATAGGCCTAAGTAGGCAGTGAGTCTGAGTCAGTAGCAGTCCAATGCATGGTCCATAGCAAAGTGCATGTCAGATTGAAGAAACATATTAGCAAATAAAAGAGGTTATGAATACAAAATGATAACGCTAATTTGACAGTTTTTGCAGTACTAGGTTTAATTTTCTTTGACCATCAAAATGCAATTGGTATTCAAAACGTGGGCCGTTCGCACCCAACGAGGCCCTCTGGTGTTGTCCTTGACCATTTTACAAGTAAATTTTATATTGTTACGACAGCGGTAGTCACGTGACTCTGGTAACACATCATGATATTCTCGAAGGATCAGGGAACATTACGAATAATCCAGTATTTGCTAGGCGCCCTCTATTCTTGTATATAAGTGCGCCAGTTAAAGCGAAATTAATTAATCGGACTTGAATTGCAGTCAGGCAGAGATAGACACGGACTATTGAGTCAAGCGCGGTAGTGACCGTAAGTAAGTGCGTGAATCATTGTGAATTATAGTATTTTGCTAATTTCTGACAGAGGTAT